TGTAAAAAAAAAAAAAAACCAATATATCTATGTAAACATATGAGTGTATGTATGTACACGTAAATGTATTGTGCATTTGCTTACACTGTCTAGTCATCCTTGGGAAGAATACATAAGAAATGAGGAATGGATGTTTCCTCCAGGAAGAGGATTAAGGTAGCTGGGAGTCGTTTGGAAATACATTGTGGTTTAACCTTAAATTAATATTAAAATTAAAACTATAGGGGCTGAGCATGGTGGCTCATATTTGTAATCTCAGCACTTTGGGAGGCCAAGGTACGTAGATCACTTCAGGTGAGGAGTTCAAGACCAGCCTGGGCAACATGATGAAACCCCATGTCTACTAAAAAAAAATACAAAAGATTAATCAAGCGTGGTGGCATGCGCCCATGGTCCCAGCCACGAGGAAGGCTGAGGCACGAAAATCACTTGAACCCAGGAGGCAGAGGTTGCAGTGAGCCAAGATTGTGCCACTGCACTCCAGCCTGGGTGACAGAGTGACCCTGTCAAAAAAAAAAGAAAACCCTGTCAAAAAAAACCCCAAAAACCCAGAGGATGGCTCAAAAATTATTTTTAAATAAACATGAAAAAGTGCATGGAAACAAAAATAAACATGGTCAAATGAAAATGTTGGTCTTTCTCAATGGAGGGAGAGAGTGTTGTGAACCTGGGGAACACGCGTGTCTGCAGCGGGCACGGTTAGGAACATATTAGGAAATCAATCTGTCGGAGGAGCCTGGAGTCCTCTGCAGACGCATGGCAGGCCGACAGCCTGTGGAGGCTGCCTTTGGCAGGCAATGGGGGTTCAGCTGCTTTGCAGGGAAGGCTCGTGGCATGCTCAGAACGGTAGCTGGCAGGTGGGTGAGGTGTGGGAGGTAGAGCTGGGGTCTGAGGATGGAGCTGTGGGAGTTCTCCCCAAGGAAGAAGCGATGTTCAGAGGGAACAGCCATATTTGAAACCTACTAGGGAATGGATGTTGACTGATGGGATTTGGGGAGCTAAAAGGATATCCACAGAAACCAGCAACCAGAGTTGGAAATGTGGGTCTTGGTCTTGCTCTTGACGGGGTGGTGGGGACAAGAGATCTGAGAAGAGTCTGCAGAGAGTGAGAGGCCAAGATGGAGACAGGGAATGAGGTCCCCAGGTGGGGGGAAAGCACAGGGGGCAGAGAGGAAAGATGGAGTGGACCTGGAGTGGGAGGGAGGGAAGAGGTAGGAAAAGGAAATGAGACAGTGGAGAGAGTTGGAGTTTCTCCCTTGGAGCCCATCTTACTTGAATTTCAAGATGAAAATCTCGATGTGAAGAAATTACATCGAGTTTGGGGATACTAGCGGCCAGCAAAGAAAGAATGGCATGGAACATGTAGGAGGAGGTCTTGGGAGGCATTAAAGACCAGGTCGTCTTTCTGTACTGTGCAGGGACTCACCTGGGACTTACCAAAATCCAGAATTCTAACCTTCCCTCCCACAAATCCCTTTGAATATGCATTTATAAACAAGTGCCCCCCAGGTCCCTGCACCCAAGCAATTCCAACATAAGTGACCTGGAGAACACACTTCGATAGGGTGGCTATTGAGGAAAGAGAGGAGGCCTTCTTCACAAACATCCCAGGCTGGTGGAATTTCGGGGAAGGCAGCAGGATTGAGGAAAGGGTTTGGAGGTTCAGGGCAAAGAGGCAAAAGCCAGAGGAAGGGAGGAGGTTGACGAGGGTGAGAGAGGAGGTCCCAGGGGAGCAGAGGCCCAGAAGAGGAAAGATGTCATGGACCAACAAGATGGTGGGCTGGTGTGTTTCCTGGAGGCAAGAGTGAGCAGAACGTGGGGAGACACTGATTTCAGGGCAGCCGCAGGTTGAGAGAATCATGGTGAGAAGCCCTGTTTTCTCAGTGAATGACGAAATGAGGTCACCTGCTCAGACGGACTAGGGTTTAGAAGACCTGAGAAGGCTTGAAAGATGAGGCGTTCTGTAGAGAAGGATGAAGCCAGCTCACGGAGGACATTTCGTGCTGCGGGGGGTGTCCATTCCTTCTTCCTCCCCTGGGAAGCATCTGCATTTCAGCATCTGGCTTTTCATTCCTTGGTTAAGATTTCATTTTTTCAAGAATGTTTAAACCATCTCCTGTCAATAAATGACCCTTGTCATCCCTCGAGATTGCCCTGCTTCCCTGTGCTGCTCTCCGCCTTCTTCCGCATACATCTTCATCTCTGGTGTGATCTTCCCTTCACTCCAGCTTCTCTTTTTTCTGTTTTGTTTTTATAATACTTTCAATCATTTTCCACTTGCCTCTCTCCTGTGCGCCTGTGTTCGCCAGGCCCCCAGTTCTCTGGTCCCTCCCTTTGTCACTTGAAGCCTAGCTTTCTAGGACCCGTTCAGTTCTCTCACACATGCATTTTGGGAACCTTCTGGGTGTACATCTGTCTTGCAAGCAAGACCAGCTACATACTTTGCAGGGTCCAGTGCAAAATAAAAATGTGGGGCCCTGTTGTTAAAAAAATGACTAAGAATTCCAAGATGGTGACAGCGGAGGATCAGACCTAATGTGGGGTCCTTCTGAGCACAGGTTGCATGCCCACGAAGCCAACCCCATGTGTAGTACTTGCTACTTTAATTTATTGTGTATTTACCATTCTCTGAACACTCTTGATATGGACTCTGTCATCTCTAATGGCTGCTTTAACCATCTTTAACTTGCTTGGTTTTACATAACATAGTCAACATGCTATAAAAACCAAATGACACATTCCATTTTAATTACTCTTCCATTTCACCATCTTTTTTGCTGATCTGGAAGAGTGACATGAGATTCTTTTCTAGGCCCAGCAGCCTGTGGAAGTTGATGCTTGGCTGGTCTCTGCCATTCAAAGACCCTCAAAGTCATGTTGGGAGTTTCCAATGGCACTGAGGCAGTTTCTCCCATAAAAGGAGAGCTGGAGGAGAGGGGGGTCAAGTCACTCAGGTAATTATTTTACGGAACTCATCTGTGAAATGCATACGACTCAGTGAGTAGCTCAGAGGAAGCATTCAATATGGCTGGTACTCTTTCCGTGCTTGGCTCCAGCTGATAGCCAAGATACTGATACAAAGCAGACGCACCGTCCTAGTTTAATAAGTTTCCTTCCTGATTTGAGGGGTCTCACCTTCCCTGCAGGTCTGTGGTTCTGCCTGGTTGACATTCACTTCTGGTAGCCTAGTCCCACTTCCTTCGCACCCACCCCCCAACCCCAGAGTTTGGCCACATACTTGTTGGTTTGCCGCTGGTGCTGAATGACCATGTTTTTCTCGTGGATTGTTTCCAACAGGGCTGTTGCCAGAGATTTCAGGTCAGAAATGGACTGCGGAGTAGCTGGGAGGCTGCATCCATGATCCTCAGATAGCAGATCCTGAACTAGATAGGACATATAATACATAACTCAGTCATCATTCTTCCGAAATGTGGGAATGCAAACTGGTGTCAATCCTTCCTGGATAATGACATGTCCCCTGCTTCAAAATGCTACCATGTGTATTGAGAGTCCACCTCAAGGGTCAACACAACAAAGTAAAATCCAGTGTGAGGACTAAACAGAAAGAAGGAAGTTCTCAGCACTTTTATGAGCAATTTTTAAGAGGGTAATATTATTTGCATTTGTCTAATATTTTAAACACTTTCATAATGAATGACTAACTCATAAGGTCTTAAAATTAGGGGAAAAGAAACCCTACAGAATATTGCTTTTTTTTTTTTCCATTTCATGGACAAAGCAAGGCACAGATGGGTTAAGAACATTGGCTGACATCAAAAACTATGAGTCTGTGTCCTTTGTAGGGACATGGATGAACCTGGAAACCATCATTCTCAGCAAACTGACAGAAGAGCAGAAGATCAAACACCCCTGTTCTCACTCTTAGGCGGGTGTTGAACAATGAGAACACATGGACACAGGGAGGGGAGCACTACACACTGGGGTCAGTTGGGGGGAAATATGGGAGGGACAGTGGGGGTGGGGAGTTGGGGAGAGATAGCATGGGGAGAGATGCCAGATGTAGGTGATGGGGAGGAAGGCAGCAAATCACACTGCCACGTGTGTACCTATGCAACAATCTTGCATGTTCTTCACGTGTACCCCAAAACCTAAAATGCAATAAAATAAATGGGAAAAAAAAATTGGCTGAAGATCACACAGCCACGCAAATGACAATGACTCCTAGCTATGAGCGCCTTGTTTTATGTCAGAGTTTGCCACGGTGTGATACCCCTGGCAGGTGGTAAGATAATTTAGGAGATTATTTAAAGTGCAAAATATGCTTTGTATTTTAATAGCTATGCATTTGTTTGAAGGTATTCTAGAAAAGGATATAAATGACATAATAAACCAGTGATTTCACAGGTGCTACTACATAGGACACGGCCAAGTAGAATGAGTCACTTTAAAATTGACTTAAAGAAAAATATTAAGCAAACGATAGCAAGATGGCACAACGATAGGGCAAAAAGTTCTATAGCAGAGTGCAAACATCTAAATATCGGGAAAGAGTATGCACAAAAGCTAGCTGTTCTTGGATGCTTGTTATTTCACAAACTGCCAGATCCCATTCACCGCCAAGTTCAAAATGAAAGCCAATCAACAGCCACAGTTCCATGTAATTGAAGGACTGAGACCCGTATTAGAGAGACCCACCCCTTGTGTGTATCCTGCCCTGGATGAGTCTGTTAACATCTCCAGTCATCTATGGATAGAAAATTATTTTTTTGTCCAGTTTCCAAAGTGTCTACTTTAAAGAAATTCCTAATTTGTCTGTATGCCACTTACAAATATATAAAAGAATATTACAGTGTGGTATGACTAGCTTAGCACATAGTAGGACTATCACCTCCTTTGTCCCAAATTTCATATTTCTGTAAATAGAATGTAAGAGGTCCTTAGCTTCTTTGGTAGTAAAACACTATTAATGAGGAATATGACAATACTACCTACTAAAACATCTGTGACTTTTTCAGATGTGACACTGTTACAACTATGCTTCCCCATTTATGTTTGGCTGGGCTTGAACTGGCTTAAATTGTTCTCAGAAGCCACCAGCCCCATCCATCTACAGCATGGCTCCAATCTACATCTGCAGCTTCTGCTTTTTCTTCCACCGTGTTTTTCTATACTGGGTTACTCAGATGCTCCTGTGTATGCATCCTTTCTGACTCTGAATGGCTGTTCTTCAAGTCTGCTTTGGGTTTTTCAAATGCACTCTTCAGGGGGAGACAAAGTAGGAGTTAAACAAAAAGACAACAACCACTGGTATTCCTACCAGACATAAAAAAAATAGTATAAATCTCACATTGTATATCTTCTCTACAAATATGCAAATTCAAACAATTGTCCTTCAAAAATGGAAAAAGCAGCTTTTTTCACTCAATAATAATCATCATGAATATCCCTTAAAACACGAAATTAGATGGCTGCTTTGGTAGTCCATGTATAGATACAGAATTATTTGGCTGGGCGCGGTGGCTCACGCCTATAATCCTAGCACTCTGGGAGGCCGAGGTGGGCAGATCACCTGATGTCAGGAGTTCGAGATCAGCCTGGCCAACATAGGGGAACCCAGTCTCTACTAACAATACAAAAATTATCTGTGCGTTGTGGCACGCATCTGTAGTCCCAGCTACTCAGGAAGCTGAGGCAGGAGAATTGCTTGAACCCAGGAGGCAGGGGTTGCAGTGAACCAAGATCACACCACTGTACTCCAGTCAGGGTGACAGAGTGAGTGTCTCAAAAAACAAAACAAAACAAAAAACAGATATAGAATTATTTAACTACTGCTAGACATTTATGATGTTTCTAATATTTTTCATTATCAGTCATATATGAAGAACTGTCTTGTAGCAAAATATTTGCATGTCTGTAATTGTTTTTTGTTGGTTCAAAGGGGGCCAGTTACAGGCTTTTCATAGCATGCTGCCAGAGTCACAGATTTCGTTTACCAATACCAATAGATTGTTGATAGAATGCTTTTTATCACAGGTTTTCTGGAAAGGCTGTGCCAGATTTATGGTTCTGCCACCGTGTCTGAGTGTGGCTGGCATTCCCCACATCAGTGATAACACTGGGTATCAACATTCAAATATGGTTTGCTATATTTGCTATCCAGAGCTAAACTTAGATGGGCTACTTCACATTTTTATACAGTATTGTAGTTTTCTTTTTAAAAACAATTTTCGGGTGTTCTTTTCTGGTTGAGTGGAAAAAAGAAGTTGCTTGGAAAAGAGCCTTGGTTGTTATGCAGGCTGGAGACTCAGCACTTTTTTTTAAGCCACTGTAGTGCTGATTAAGACTGCCATATGATAGCTGCTGGTCTGCACTATCAACAACCAAAAAGTGGGTCAGCTGAACATGTTCAACTCAAGACTTATGTTTAGCGCTGAATTCTGAATATTAAGTGTCAGAAGCCAGCGTGCTGCTATTTATTCCCCTGGACTGTTCCTGGAAGATCATTATTTTTCATTGGAATCGACGAGAAGGAGGAACAAAATTGCAATCAATAAAAGCTTCTTCGAAAAAGGCACATGTTATGTGAGAAAATCATTTCAGCAGCTAGGAGACTTTTCTGATCGTAGAGGCCGGGAAAAAAAGGAGAAATTCAAGGAGGCTGAAACATATCCTTGGAGACGCTGAGTTGGTGATTAGGAAAGGGAGAACATTCTGGAAAAGAGAGCACAGTCTCAGGGATTTTGCCTAAATGGGGCCTAGTCATTAGAAAAACCTTGAATGCAGTGGTTCCCAAAGTGGAGTCCCCGAACCAGTATCAGCATCGCTGGGAACTTTTTAAAAATACATATTCTCAGGTCACATCCCAGACCTATGAATCAGAAACTCTGGGGTGGAACCAGTCATCTGTGTTTTAACAGGCCCTCCCGGCATCTCCGATGCATTTGCTAGTCAGGGAGCCAACCTCCTAGGGATCGTCTTGCTTCCCAGTCCACAAAAGCAGCAGCCTGGATGGGATGCGGCTTCGCAGCTGTAGTACGCTCATGAGTGGTCTCTCCTGGAGCATGATATCCTACCTTGCTTTGCAGACAGGACTCCTGTCAGAGCACTGCTGCTGGATTTACCCTGGCCCTTCGAGTTTTTCCGTCTCTCGAGAGCATTCTAAAACAGGATTGAGATAGAAAAAAGCCCATCAGAAAAGCCAGCAATGGAAAAGTACCTAGCAGGTGCCTCCTCCCATCGGCACACAAGATCCCCTTGCAAACTCCAAGTGCTACCCTAATATTTAGAATTCCATGTCTACACCCAAGAGTTATAATTTTTATGGCCTGGTAAGTAGTCTTTTTTTTTTTTTCAAAGGTGGTATATGGCAGAATGATAGCAATTACAGTCCCCTGTATACAAAAAGCACTTAATATATGTTAAATAAAATCTGAAGCAAGAATGTAGTCTAATGTGAAGTCACTAGTAATGAAAATTCCTTCTGAATAGACTTGAGATGGTGACTAGGCTTATTTTCATGGACCAATGGTGATTTCTGGAAGGAAAGACGGTCATGATCAATTAGTGATGTCTGCCGTGGCTACAGATTAAGGAGTACATATGTGCCACCTACATGTCATTTCTAGAACAGACTTACATTAAAATTGATATGTAAATCTAGCCAGTGCTTGGCACAGAGAACTGAATAAATGTTGTTAAATGAATGCATCCATACGTTTAAAAAATATGTATTAATTATACAACCTTAAAGGCTATATTCTTCTTTGGCTGAATGTGTATAGATAGATGGTGTAATGCGTGGCCCCCACAACATGGAAAGGAAGAACAGCATGGAGACTTGCAAGAACAAATGCTAATGTCAAAAGCCGGGAAAATAGGTTCTTCCAAGGATCTAGACGGCTGTAAAACTTCACCCTCAGGAAGAGAAATCAATCTATTTTCCAGGCAGAGAGACCCAGGAGATTTTTCTAATTATAACACTTACAACTAACATCTGCAGAAATAGATATTATCAAACTAATGGTGCTGGAATTAGACTAAATAACAGTGGGGAGAATTTAAACACTCTGTCCTTGCAGTGTGACATGAACATTATGCTTCAGACTGTGACTTCCCAGTATTTGTTTCTTCATCACTCGGAAACCATTTTCTTATGGATGATTATGAGAGAAACAGCATCTGATGACTGCACATGTTATAGAGAAAACGGATAAGAAACCTAACTGCAAATGGACAAGGGCTGCGCAGTAGGCAAGATTCAATGTCCAGATTCTGGTGGAGAGGCTACACCAGGTGCCAAAACACACCCTGGTGGCCATGCCTTGCCTGGATAACAGCCGCAGAAGGAGCTCCTGCGAAAAGCTGCTGTGGTTTTGTTTGTTGTTTGGGGTTTTAATTTTTGCCGGTTACCCCAGTTAAAGCTTTTATTAGAGTCTATCTGGGAGGGCAGGCAAGTACTAAAATATCTTTGGTACATAAAAGGGAATTAAAATAGAATGACATTTAGAGGCACAATAGTGAATCACCATCATTGTCATCATGATTTTGCTACCTTGTATTTGGCAATGTTTGATTTCAAGAGGTTGACCTCTTCATGGAGTTGCTTTAATCTCTCTTGAAGGTACCTGGAAAAGAATACATAAAACTAGGAAGTGTTTGAGGGCTAAATAAAAAACACACACTGATGTATAAGAGGAAAAACAAAACCCACTTGCCAGAAGAGCTATCTTTTACACTTAACACCTTGCCTGCTCACGAGAAAGGAGAGCCACATGCATCTTCATGACCTTTTCTTAAATGAATACAGTCAAGGTCAAACATGCCCAAATCACAGACACCCCACTTTAAAACAGCCCTCGCAGAGCTCCCCTAAGGGATATCAACACGGTTTTCACATAATTCTCATTAAGATGATTCCACGGGGAAGACAGGCAGGAAGAGGCAACACCAGACATAACATTAGGTTAGACACACACATACTGAAATTTGCCTCAGGGAAAAGAAACAGCTAAGGGAATTTCTCAATTTATTTTCTTATTCTTCTCTTTCTCCTTGATGGCAATAACAAGCAACTCTCCCAGGTTCCTGGCCCTTGTCGGCCTACCAAGGAAGGTGTAGGGAATGAGAAGGAAGATGAATGTGTGCCGCTGTATGGGTGTGGGCTGCTTTCTTTAACATATGTTAGTTGTAATTAGTTATATCACAACTAATAAATGGCATTGATGTCATCATTTGGGGGTGAATGAGTTTCTTTTCACTTGTAAGGCAATTTTCTCCAAAGTAAATGGGCTTGCAAATAACTCCCAGCCTGCAGGCCTGTACAGAGCCCTCTTCCTTCCCACACATAGGCCTGGGCCTGGCCACTTGCCTGTTCTCCATGCACAGGGCATCCACGTCAATGATACGGTTCTCGTGCCCACTCAGGATATGGTTCAGCTCCTGGTTGAGCCTCTCCACTTTGTCCTGGTAGGAAGACCGTTCTTCCTTAACATCCTGAAGCTCGTCCACGGAAGCCTGCAGGTCGTGCTCCAGAGACTCAATCTGAAACCACAGGGAGCGCCCTCACTCAGGATGTTCCTCAGGCACTGGCTTTACTGTCAGAGATGGAGCCTCCCACTTGGTTGACTGATTTTTACAAAACTTATTAATACCACCCGCATGCCCTGAAACCATAAGCTCCACACACTGGAATGCAGGAAGAGCTAAAAGCGAGAGGGCAACTTCCTGCCAGACGTGTATTATATCTAAGAGGAGAGGTGCAGCAGCTTGGAAAACCAGAACAGAACCCTCGCCTTCTTCAGGGTGCCCTGCAGCTGCCAGCGTCTGACAGATCCGCTCTTTTTCAAATCCGCTCTAGACCCAGAAATCTTGTTCTGCTCTTCAGTTAGTAAGAGGAAGGAAAGGAAGCCCAGGCTCTCTTAGCTGTTACCTAACTAGGGCTCTGCACTTGTTGAGATTTTGCCGAAAAGGCATTTGCTCAGCATTTTAGCAGAAACTTGCAAAGTAAGGCCAGTTTGTCACGTGTTGTTCTCTCCTTGTCTATCCTGGTAGGAGGAAGGTTTCTTGTTGTGTTCAGAACAATTGTACCCAATGTCAGGGAGCAGACCTGCCTGCTGAAGGCCAGAAACCCGAGTCAGCTTGGGACCCTGGCGCAGTGCCGAGGAAGTAAAGGCATTCAACGTGCATCCCAGGCATCCCACACTCTGAGAAACGGGACACAGCATGGTCCACTCGTTTGTGTTGTGTCCAGCTGTGCAAACGCATCCCCCACTCTGAATAAATGTTAGTGAGAACCTGTTCCTTAGCTCTCTCTAGCTGCTGAACCAAGTCTTCACGCTCATGGGCTGCAAAGTGTCGCACGCCGATTTCTTCATCTCCAAGCCTCTGTTTAGCAATCGTCATCCTCAAGAGCTGCATTGTCCATTGGTAGAAAAAGAAAAAGGGACAGAGAATAAACAGATCCAAATAAAAACCAAAGGACACTAAGAAACTTTTGGGAGATAAGACACTTTCAAGAAATACTGGAGAAAGTGCAAAACAATTACTTGCCAGTGTCATCAATTTTTTTAAAAATTAAAAATATAGATTGTATTTAGTGTACACATGCACGCACTCTTTAAGGCCCAGGCACTCTAAGCTGGATGTCTGGTGGAGTACTGCTATAGGGTTCCCATTAACATTTAGCCAAGATTCAAAAATCATAACCCAATGCTGGATGATCTGCTGAGATGGGCACACTCCCACATGCTAACAGTGAGGCGATGTTATCAAGAGCCTTTAAAATGTCCCCACCCAATGACCCAGTAACTCTACTTCTAAAAATCTGGGCTAAAAATAATCCCAGACTGCTAACTTTAGGAAAATATAAAAAAGTGGACTGCACTGTTATTTACAGAGTTAAAAAAAAAACTAAAAACAATGCCTAACAATAGTGTTACCCTAACTGGGTGACAGCGGAGGACATGTTTATAATGCCATGTTAAGTGGGGGGAAAAAAGAATTCTAATGTTTCTATGCAGTATGACTAAAATTATACTAAGAACGAACTCTCTGTCTCTCTGTCTCTGTCTCTCTCTCTCTCTCTCTCACACACACACACACACACACACACAGAGAGAGAGAGAAAATGACCAAATGCACTCAAATATTTAAAATGTGTATATTTCGGTGATGGTGAGACTGTTATCTGCTTGTTACTTTCTAACTTTTAAAATATTTATTCACTGCATGAATTTTAGAATATACCTTTATTTATGTTTTAAAACCCTCAGGAGTAAAATTCCAGTCTTCCAAAACATAATTTTCCAAAAGAACCCTGCAGAACCCATAGCTTTCCCGGACTCTGGAGCCAAGACCCCACCTGCAGCTCTAAACCTTCTCGGTGGGGCTGCAATGGAAACGGTGCGAGAGGCCCAGGAAGACCCCAATGGTCTCAGAGCACCCTACCTGCCCATCACAACTCCAAGGATCGCCACTGAAGAGTGACTTTCATAAGTTACAGCAGTGCTTTCCAATGTTTCTTTTATGGAGGTTTTAAGTCTGATTCCACACCTCCGTGTAGGGACGATGTGGATGGGTTTCATATATGAATGGGATGCTGGGGACAGTTTTTCACTGTCACACAGATCTGACCCAGCCGGAGTGCCTGCGGGGGGCATGCTCTTCCTTGTTCCTGCATGAATCTTAAGGGATTCGTTGCCAGTCGAGAAAATGGCTTAATTTTCAGAGTCTCTGAAGGATTTATGGGCAGGTGAGAGATAGGAAGTTAATTTAAGCCAAGGGAGAATATTAACAAAATTGAAATAATAAATAACAGCAAGGAACTTTGAAAGAAATGATGACTAAAGAAAAGTAAAGTGCATTTTCAAATGACACTTACTTTGGGTCCTTATTTGAAAAGTACGCAGTTGAACTCCAGAAATATTTACTGTGCCCCTACCAAGAGCAAAAGCACACGGGGACTGGGTGGACAGTGTCCCAGGCAGGTGGAACAGACCGTGCAAAGGCAGGCAGAAGATGCAGGACGCTTAGATGTGCAGATGGCTGCACTTGCTGGAATCTGGTTACACTCGATCCTCATTATCCATGGATTCTGAATTTGTGAATTTGCTTACTTGCTGAAATTTATTTTTAACCCCAAAATCAATATTTGCAGTGCTTTCATGGTCATTGTCAGACATGCAGAGAGTGGCAAAAAATTAGAGTCGCCTGACACACACATTCCCACGGAGGTCAAACAAGGCCACGTTCTGCCTTCTTGTTTCAGCCCTTGGATTGCAAACAAATGTCCCTTTCAGGACCTAGTGCGTGTCACCACATTTGTCACATTTTTGTGCTTTGTACTGGTGGCTTTGCTGTTTAAAGTGGCCCCTATGTATAGTGCTGAAGTGCTAGAAGTGCTTGTACTTAGTGCTCTAAGTAGTAAGTACCTAATGGAGATAATAGGTGTGTTAGAGAAGCTTCCTCCAGGCATGAGCGACGGTGCTGTTGAACTCAGTTCACTGTTCGTGAATTAACCATATATGTCAAATAAGATGACTTTAAACAGAAACACACATAAAACAAGGTTATGGCTGATCAACTGGAAAAAATGTTGTGACCAGAGGCTTACAGGCACCTCATCTTGCATTTCTCCTGGGAGGAATGGCTCAGGATTCACTAGTCTGGTCATTTGCAGTGACTTCACAGAACAAATTGGTAGTGAAACTTGCAATTCCACTGAAAGCTGATATGCAAAAACCGTATCACATCACACAACTCTTGGCTTGGGACATCAGATCCCCAAAAGTGGATACACAGGAAGGCAAACAGCAAGCCAAATAAAAAAAAATGTCTATCAGATCCAAGGGTCTAGGAACAAGAAAATTCCTGCCTTTCGGTATGAGGCCAGCAGGAGGTTTAGGTTGTGTCTTCAAACGCAGGGTATTTTTCTTGGTCTACGAAAAGCCATACTGACCGCCTGAGCTTTAAGTAATAGAACACTGTGGTTTTCCATTCCCAATATGCTTCACTGAGCACTTAATTTAGAATCACACAATTATGTTTCCTTAATGCCAATTAATTATTAAACATGTTTATTGAAGTCTGACAGCCATATAACAGAGTCATCTTTCATATATCGGATGCCTGTTAAGCTTCAATAAATATGTTAACAATCATTTGGTGTTTAATGTGCATACAGTATCAGCTGCTAAATCTCAGGGCTGGACTGGTTGAAACACTTATTGTTAAAAGCGAGGCCCAAGTTGGTAATAGCTAGTCCATTAGTTGGGTCTGAAACTCAAGTTCAGTAGCTGAGGGGGTCTAAGGAAGTTACTGCAGGGAGGATGGCAGAGCCCCAGGGAGAGAGCTCCTGCCTTCCCAGCTGACAGCTGGTGTGCACTGGAGTTGGCCCACCTAGGGCGTGCATCCTGGCTCCACAGTCTGTGAGCTGTGCAGTCTTGGGACGTTGTCTAAACTTCTCGGAGCCTCAGCCTCCTCCTCTGTAGAAACACAGCAGTAAAAGCGTAACCTCGAAGAAGTGCTGTAAGTATGAAGTGAGAGAGTGGGGTTGCATTAAAAGAACACTGAAGTCAGAGGAGTTCAATTCCTCGTACAGACGAGTTTGGTGATTAAAAAAGAAGAGGAACAAAAGGATGAGAGAGAAATAACCCAGAACACTGTGTGATTCTCCCAGTTCCTATGCTCAATATCCCTGCTGGGGAAAGAGGGGAGAGACAGACTGATAATACATTTATGCAAAGTCACACGTTCTGTTTTTACACAGTACTGCTATTCTGAAGCATACACACACTCTGAAAGTTTTGGACAATTTCAAGGGACCATCGGGGGAAATTTTGGCTACATCCAAGTTTCTGCCTCTTCCATGCTGACTTCAGAATCGAACCCTAAGTAAGAGAAGATGGGACTTCTCATCAATACTTAGCACCGGCCCTGTAGCATATTATATGCCTCATAAATACACACTAAATGTTAGGGGCTCTTATGATTATTGGAATCATCATCATCATCATCATCATCATCCACGTACGTTTTTCCACACAGAAGCCCACTAGGGAAGCCCGACCTTTCTTCTAAGCTGGAGAAAGCAGAGCTCCCGAGCCAGCCTTATCTGTGTAGCGCAGGCAAATGATGTTGATTTTCCACCTTGGAAAATGGCTATGAAGCAACCGCTCAGGGCACTTAATTTCCTCAAACAGGGCCATCAAAACTGCGCAGCCAGCCTCCCTGAGCCAGCCCACAAAGTGGATCAGTGCCTTGCACAGCACCCGCGCCGCCACCAATAGATGCATTCAGTTGCTGATTTAGATAGAAATAAATGTTTATGAATGAATTATGGGTGTGAGTCGTCAGCTTGCGGATGAGGCGCAGCTGCAGCTGGGATGTGGCTGAGGGACAAGGCCGCAAAACAATGTGGTAAAATGGCTTCTGGGTGCCCTGCCCCCAACTCTGCCAAGGACCTGATCAATCTGTCCTCCATGAGGCCTGCCCAGGCCTCCCGAGTCAGAATGACTTGCTCCCTCCTTGATCTCTTCTCAGCCTTCATCTCTCGCAGCCCTCAACAGTCTCTACCTCATCCTATTTTCATTTGCCTGAATCTGTTTCACTCAACAGTGAGAGGCAGCCAGATGCAGGAGCAGTGATTCTCCAGGTGTTATCTATGTTCACCCGGAGATACAGCTTCTGCTAATCCTAGCTATGTGCCCTTGGCAAGCTCTCTAACCTTGGCGGGCCACATGTGACTTGTTTAAAAAAAACAAAAAAGGATAAAATCCATCTGGTAGACAGGACAGTCATGTACAGCTGCCCAGGCTGTGCACTGTACAACTCCATCTGCGGAGATCACATTCCCACCATGGGAAGATACAAGGCAATGACCACTGTCCATGGAACTCCACGAGCTTTCAAAGTGCAATCCCCAGTTACAGTTGGCAAGGTTACAATTCTCATACAGTGGCTGTCAATTTGCCAGGGCTATTAGGAGGGTCAGATGAAAGAATCATTAACAGGAAGTGGATGCTGGCCCTTGCCTGCTCCCAGTCCTCGTGTACTGCTGCACATGGAACACCGGGGAGAGGTCAGCACCAAAAGGCATTTATTAAACATTCATCTGGAGTGGTACTGTGCAGGGCAATTCCATAAACAAGGCCCTGCCTATTATTTCTTTACTTTTCCTGTTGGTTTCCTCCACATCCTCTCCAAATGCCCCCTGACCTTTTGGAAATACCTTCCATAAAACTGGACATGAGAGATTAAAAGGCTCCAAGTGGGCCATCTACTGTGTACACCAGAGTCCAGATTCCTAGATTTATATGATATTCCAGTTCTAGTTTCAAACAAAAGAATTTGTCACTTAAAACAAATCAAAACAGTAGTTTTCATCCTGGAGATCATCGGGCACACACTCATTA